GAAGGGCTATTGAAGGCCCCTTAAAAAATCACGAAGACAACCTTATTGTGGATAATATTAGAAATGGTCATCAATGGAACCTAACAAAAATCTTCTTTGAACTACCTACACAAATTGTTGATAACATAAATGCAATTACTATTTCTAACGACAATAAAACAAGCAACAATATTATCTGGAGCCTCACCTCAAGTGGCCTCTTCACAACCACATCTTGCTATCAAATTATCGATAATGAGAAAAAAGTCCACAAAGACTTCACATGGATTTGGAAGCTACACTGCCCTAATAAAATAAAAAATTCCATTTGAAAATGTTACCATGATAAACTTCTCAGTAGATCATACCTATCTAGAATAGGTATTAATACCGATCCGCTATGTCCAGTTTGCAAACAAGGGGAAGAAATAATGCATCATATATTCTGGGAATGTAATATTATTAATAATTTGTGGAACATATATGGGATAATTTATACCCCGTCAAATAACAAAATCCACTGGATTGACTACGTAAGAAACACAAATTATACTTTCTCACATAAATACCTTAAGTGGGGAGATGTATTTCCTTTTGCATTATGGCATATATGGAAAAATAGGAACCACAACAACCATAACAATACCTCTTGTCGTATAGAATGGATCACTATTATTAACCAAGCATTAGAATACAAGCTTATGACTGAAAAAGGAATGACCAACACCACCCAAAAGACAATTAACATAACATGGCATAAGCCTCCAAATAGGTGGTTCAAGCTAAACATAGATGAAGCCTTCATCAAAAACAAATGCCAAGGTGGCATTGAAGGAGTAATGAGAAATAGTGCAGGCTCCTGGATTATGGCATTCAACAAAAAGATGTCAACATTATCTACTACTCGGGTAGAGCTTCAAGCCATCCAACACGGTCTTCATGAGATATTGGATCACAACCTATTTCCAATGGAAATAGAGACGGATGCATCAGAGGTGATGACCATACTAGAAAATGATCACCCTACTTACACTAACTTAGTTAATGATTGTAGGTGGTTGTTGCACCAGGCAAGACAGAAGGGCCAAGTAACTCTCAAATATAGCTTCAGACAGGGAAATAAAGTGGCACGCGTTTTGCCTAGGGAAGCACTGATGCAGTCCAACATATATAAACTATGTCTCTTCACAGCACCTCCACAACTAACGATGGAAAAGTATCAAAGAGACATGGAGAGTTTTTCTTGTGTAAAATATATTTCCTCTAATGTATGCACTAGGTTGGATATTCTAGGTAATGTCGATGCCATAGAAGGCAATAGTTCGTATGTAGGTGCCAACAATGGCAGTTTGGTTTGTAATATGTCAAGACTTGATGACTAGTTATTAAATATGAAAAATTGCTAAATTTCCCCCTCCACTTTCTAAAATAGTCTACATTTAACCTCTGTTGTACTTTGGAGACAAAAATATCCTTACCGTTAGCAAAGTTATTAAAAATACCCCTATCTTTAATAGAACTCCAGCTGGGACCGAAAAAAAACTTTAAAACATATTTTTGCTAACATGGCTACTTATGTGGCCATATATTTTATTTTTATTTAATATACCACTTGTCTTCTTCCCCAAATTTGGCTTCCTCCATGGCTGGGCCTCAAGCTTCTTCTACAACAATTTCAGAGAAAATCTTTTCAAGCACGTTTTCTTTTCTCAAGTACCTCTGCTGCCTTCACAAAGAACAAAATCAGGCATCAAATTACAAATTAAAAACATCAAATACACAACTCAGTTCGCTTCAGATTTTGAGAGATTTACATATATTTTAAAATTAAAAATAGCAAGTTCCTATCCCGCCAATTATCCTCTCTCTCTCTCTCTCTCTCTCTCTCTCTCTCTCTCTCTCTTTTTAATAAGGCTCAAAGTTGGGTGCTAAAGGAANTCTCTCTCTCCCTGCAGACTCACCAATTTGAAATACAGGCCTCAAGGCAGTGGTTTGCAAAGCTTTCTGCTTCTTTTATTTCTAGAGGGTATTCCCCCAGCAAGAATGACTCATCTCTGTTTACCAAGGTGTCTACCTCCTTCATTGTTCTTTTGGTAGTTTATGTAGATGACATTCTCTTGGCTGGCAATGACTCTATTGAGATGGTTGCCTTGAAATCATTTCTGGATCAGCAGTTTAAAATAAAGGACCTTGGTTCTGTGCACTACTTCCTTGGTCTTGAGATCAACAAAGTTCCTCAAGGTTATGTTGTCAATCAGTACAAGTACACCAGGGACCTCCTCCAAGAATTTCATTGTCTTGATGTGAAGTCTGTTCTTACTCCCTTTGATCCTCATTCTAAGCTCTCCCCTGATTTTGGGGATCCCCTTCCTGATCCCTCATTGTATAGGAGGCTCATTGGCAAGCTGAATTTTCTCTAACACACCATGCCAGATATCTCTTTCTTAGTACAACATCTCAGCCAGTTTTTGGTATCTCCTAAGGTGCCTCATATGTTGGCTGCTATACATGTCCTTAGGTATCTTCTGAATGCTCTTTCCCAGGGTATTCTACTCAGTAACACAACTGATTTTTACTACAGGCCTACTCTGATTCAGATTGGGCTGCTTGCCCCATCTCTGGAAAATCTGTCACTGGGTACTACATTGTTCTTAGGGGTTCTCCCATTTCTTGGAAATCCAAGAAGCATTAGACTGTTTCTTTATCTTCTGTAGAGGCTGAATATCGAGCTCTCAGAAAGGTTGTTGCTGAGGTTACCTGGTTGGTATGCTTGCTTTGTGATATGGGTCTGGTGATCTCTTCCCATGTCCCTGTGTTTTGTGACAGTCAGGTTGCACTTCATATTGCTAAAAATCCTGTATTTCACGAGCGTACCAAGCATATAGACTATCATTATGTGCGTGCTGTTCTTTCTACTAGCTTAATCTCTCTTCAACATATCTCCAATACTCACCAACTTGCTGACGTTTTCACTAAAGCTTTGACAGGTGTTCCTCATCACAGGTTGTTGTCCAAGCTGGGTGTGTTCCCACCCTCCAACTTGAGAGGGGGTGGCAGAGTTCAGATACTAAGCCCAGATCCAGGTTGACCCTTCCATATTGGGCCTATTAGTAGTCGGGCTTCATTTTCATTTAGGGACCCGACCCTTGTCCGGTTTACTTAGACACATTGTAAATATAACTAGAACCTTCTTCTTCTAATTTTTACTTAATGAGAATCATTCTTTTATTTACCTCATGTGTTCAACATCAGTTCTCTCTCCTCGTCTTAGAGGCTAAGGTTTTCTCACCTTCAATCTTCATGTTCATGGTAGTCCGTTAGCTTAACATGTACTGATGCTTGTCCCCGCTAATGTTTGTCCTAAGGGTGTGTTTAGTAAGAAGAAAAATATTTTCCATAGAAAATGCTTTCCTAGAAAATATTTTCATGGAAAATGAGTAGTTTTATCACTTATTTTTTCTTGTTTGGTTGGTGTGTGAAAATTTTTTTGCGAAAAAATATTTTTTAGTGTTTGTTTAGAGAATAGAAAATATTTTTTAGAAAAATATTTTTTTATGCTACTCTCCTCATTCCTCCCCTCCCCTCCCCTTCTCCCAAGTCTGCATGTTTCATGTGCTCTCACCCTCCCCCAAATACCTAATGTTTTCAGGACTCTATTTCCTCAAGAATTTAATTATTCTTCTAAAAATTCACACAAACCCAAAGGAACGAATGTGCTGCTTTACTTTCTTATACAAAAATAATATTGAGATTTGTGCTCCATAACTAAAAAGAAAATGCTCTTTTTTTGGTTGAAAAAGAAATTAGTCTTTCTACAACATGAAAATAAAGTACTCATTTTGTTAAAATAAAAGAAAATACTTTTTTTACATCATGAAAAGAAAAATACTCATTTTATTGAATGAAAGAAAATATTTTTTCTACATCATGAAAAGAAAATATTTTTTTTATATCATGAAAAGAAAATACTCATTAGTTGAAATGAAAAAAAAAACTTTATCTATAACATAAAAAGAAAGAACTGTTAATAATATTTCTATTTTGGGTGAGG